ACAAGGATTACCAAGAAAGACTTTAATCTCCACAAAGGATGTTGATATGATAGTCAAAAGGAACAATTGTCGAAAAAAGTCCATATGGCCTCAAGACATAAGTTTAGGACTAAAGGATGCATGGACGTATAACGACAAGTCTGAGAAGGACAATCCCATAAAAAAATCCTCAAGAACTTCGAAGGACAAAATTGAGAACGAAGTAGTACAATATAGAACAAGAGAAACCTCTAAGTTGCACAACCCTTAAGGAATAAGGTGGATTATGTCAAGGATTGTGTTGGGTATAAGGAAGGCAATATGGCCTAAGGGCAAAGATATAAGGTAACACAATGATTTCTAAGGAAGACTTACAATCTCAACAAAGGATGTTGATAAGATAGTCAAAAGTAACAAAGGTCGGAAAAAGTCTATGGCCTCAAGACAAAAGTTCAGGACTAAAGGATGCATGGATGAGTATAAGGACAAGTCGGAGAAGGACAAACCCATGAAAAAAACTCTCAAAGAACTTGGAAGGACATAATTGAGAACATGTAGTACAATATGGAACAAAGAAGAACCTCTAAGTTACACAACCCTTAAGGAATAAGGTTGATTTTGTCGAGGGATGATATAAAGAAGGCAATATGCCCTAAGGTCAAAGATATAAGGTAACACAAGGATTACCAAGAAAGACTTTAATCTCCACAAAGGATGTTGATATGATAGTCAAAAGGAACAATTGTCGAAAAAAGTCCATATGGCCTCAAGACATAAGTTTAGTAGTACTTAAGGATGCATGGATGAGTATAAGGACAAGTCCGAGAAGGACAACAAGACATAAGTTTAGTAGTACTTAAGGATGCATGGATGAGTATAAGGACAAGTCCGAGAAGGACAAACCCATGAAAAAAACTCTCAAAGAACTTGGAAGGACATAGTTGAGAACATGTAGTATAATATGGAACAAAGAGGAACCTCTAAGTTACACAACTCTTAAGGAATAAGGTTGATTTTGTCGAGGATTGTTGGATATAAAGAAGGCAATATGCCCTAAGGTCAAAGATATAAGGTAACACAAGGATTACCAAGAAAGACCTTCAATCTCAACAAAGGATGTTGATATGATAGTCAAAAGGAACAATTGTTGGAAAAAGTCCATGGCCTCAAGACAAAAGTTTAGGGACTAAATGATGCATGGATATTCGATTACAAGGACAAGTCGGAGATGTACAAACCCATGAAAAAAAACTCTCAAAGAACTTAGAAGGACAAAATTGAGAACGGGTAGTACAATATGGAACAAGAGAAACCTCTAAGTTACAGAACCCCTTAAGGAATAAGGTGGATTATGTCAAGGATTGTTGGTCATAAGGAAGGCAATACGCCCTAATGTCAAAGATATGGGAACAAAAGGATTATCAAGAAAGACTTTCAATCTCAACAAAGGATGTTGATAAGATAGTCCAATGGAACAAAGTCTGGAAAAAGTCCGTGGCCCCGTGACATAAGTTTAGGACCAAAGGATGCATGGATAATCGATTACAAGGACAAGTCGGAGAAGATCAAATCCATAAAAAAAAAAACCCTCAAAGATCTTGGAAGGATTAAATTGAGAACAAGTAGTACAATAATGAATAAGAGGAACCTCTAAGTTAGGAACCTCTAAGTTACACAACCCTTGAGGAATTAGGTTGATTTTGTGAAGGGATGGTTGGATATAAGGAAGACAATACGCCCGTAGGTCAAAGATATAAGGTAACATAAGGATGATCAAGAAAGACTTTCAATCTCAACAAAGGATGTTGATAAGATAGTCTAAAGGAACAAATGCCGGAAAAAGTCCATCTGGCCTCATGACATAAGTTTAGGACTAAAGGATACATGAATGAGTATAAGGATAAGTCCGAGGGGGAGAAAACCCATAAAAGAATCCTCAAAGAACTTTGAAGGACAAAATTGAGAACAAGTAGTACAATATGGAACAAGAGGAACCTTTAAATTCCACAACACTTCAGGAATAAGGTTGATTATATCAAGGATTGTTGGATATAGCGAAGGCAATACGCCCTAAGGTCAAAGATATAAGGTAACACAAGGATTACCAAAATAGACTTTCAATCTCAACCAAAGATGTTGATCGAATAAAGTCTGGAAAAAGTCCATGGCCTCAAGACATAAGTTTAGGACTAAGTTTAGGACTGAAGGATGTATGGATAATCGATTACATGGACAAGTCAGAGAAGGACAAATCCATAAAAAAAAAACCCTCAAAGAACTTGAAAGAACAAAATTGAGAACAAGTAGTACAATATGGAACAAAGAGGAACCTCTAAGTTATACAACCCTTTAAGGAATAAGGATGATTATGTCGAAGATTGTTGGATATAATGAAAACCTCTAAGTTATACAACCCTTAAGGAATAAGGTTGATTATGTCGAGAATTGTTGGATATAATGAAAGCAATATGCGTTAAGGTCAAAGATATAAAGGTAACACAAGGATTACCTAGAAAAGACTTTCAATCTCAACAAAGGATGTTGATATGATAGTTAAAAGAACAATGGTTGGAATAGAAATGGAGAAAGAAATTCAAGGTGCTCAAGAAATGGAAAATTCAAGGTGCTCAAGAAAGGTAACACAAGGATTACCAAAATAGACTTTCAATCTCAACCAAAGATGTTGATCGAATAAAGTCTGGAAAAAGTCCATGGCCTCAAGACATAAGTTTAGGACTAAGTTTAGGACTGAAGGATGTATGGATAATCGATTACATGGACAAGTCAGAGAAGGACAAATCCATAAAAAAAAAACCCTCAAAGAACTTGAAAGAACAAAATTGAGAACAAGTAGTACAATATGGAACAAAGAGGAACCTCTAAGTTATACAACCCTTTAAGGAATAAGGATGATTATGTCGAAGATTGTTGGATATAATGAAAACCTCTAAGTTATACAACCCTTAAGGAATAAGGTTGATTATGTCGAGAATTGTTGGATATAATGAAAGCAATATGCGTTAAGGTCAAAGATATAAAGGTAACACAAGGATTACCTAGAAAAGACTTTCAATCTCAACAAAGGATGTTGATATGATAGTTAAAAGAACAATGGTTGGAATAGAAATGGAGAAAGAAATTCAAGGTGCTCAAGAAATGGAAAATTCAAGGTGCTCAAGAAAGGTAACACAAGGATTACCAAAATAGACTTTCAATCTCAACCAAAGATGTTGATCGAATAAAGTCTGGAAAAAGTCCATGGCCTCAAGACATAAGTTTAGGACTAAGTTTAGGACTGAAGGATGTATGGATAATCGATTACATGGACAAGTCAGAGAAGGACAAATCCATAAAAAAAAAACCCTCAAAGAACTTGAAAGAACAAAATTGAGAACAAGTAGTACAATATGGAACAAAGAGGAACCTCTAAGTTATACAACCCTTTAAGGAATAAGGATGATTATGTCGAAGATTGTTGGATATAATGAAAACCTCTAAGTTATACAACCCTTAAGGAATAAGGTTGATTATGTCGAGAATTGTTGGATATAATGAAAGCAATATGCGTTAAGGTCAAAGATATAAAGGTAACACAAGGATTACCTAGAAAAGACTTTCAATCTCAACAAAGGATGTTGATATGATAGTTAAAAGAACAATGGTTGGAATAGAAATGGAGAAAGAAATTCAAGGTGCTCAAGAAATGGAAAATGGCAAAAAAAAAAAAAAAAAAAAAGAGGGTACTCTCTTTGAATGGTTGGGTTTCCTAGAAAAATTGAATGATTATATCGATACGGACTTGATTTATTAAAAGAGGATGACTCCCTTCTTGGGATTGGCTTAGAGATTTCACTAAGAAAGATCACATCGCTGTCGTCCTGATTCAGGCTATTGGTGTGAGAGCAAAGTTGGAGGCATTGGACATGAAGTTTGGGTAAACTAATGTGATTACACTTAATAATGCTATGACCAGTAATAACTAAAGTTTGTTTTTGGGGCAATGAGGACATTACCAAGCTTATTTGATATACTAATCTAAGTTGCTTATTTGATGATTGCTTTATCATGTGAAATTTTAGGTGCAGAACTCTCTTTGCTTATGGACAATCAAAGCTTTCCAAAGAGCTTGCCAGGTGATTTGGAGGGTGAATAATCAAGAGAAACTTTGCTTACTATCCATATATTTGAACACAACAATATTCCTCGTGTATTTAGGCCTTTTCTGCATGATACAACCTTTATATTAACATCCTTTTCTTATTGATTTCCAAAGTTATCTTATCAAGTCAAATTTGATATACAACTATCGTTTCTCTACTTTTTTCTTTTTCATGAGAATTAACAGCCAACGCCATTCATCCTGGAGCAATTGTTACCGATCTACTATGTTTTGTAATATCCCGATTTGTACCAAAAGAATTAAAAAAAAAAGGTCAGTGACGTCAGCATAGGACATTAACATGATATCAGCAGGTCAGCATGATGTCAACGTGACAGTACGGTCAACGGTCAGTTTTTTTAACATCCTCTTTTTATAGTTTTAAACTTCCCAGAGTTCGTTTTTTGACTTAAGTTAAGAAATTGGAGGAACTTTAGGAACTCACATAGGGTCTAGATACAAGCGGTCAGAGTACCTATTTGGAGTATGGCTTAACTCATACACACGAGACTTACCCGAGGGCCTGTTACAAGGACAGCTTGACTCATGCGCAATTAGTGTAAGGTTGATGGTAGACTTTGGAAAACAAAAACATAGAGCTAAGCATATATGAAAAACTGTACATTATGGCCATGAGGGCATTAAGTATAAACCCTAAAGTAGGAGTCTGTAAGTTTTAGGGTACGTATGAGCCTTATACGACTAGCACAAACTACATGTCATGGCATTGGCTAATGTTATAGTAAGTATCTAAGCACATAGCTTAAGAAACCGCCACAAAGGCGAAGTCTGACAAGAGCATACAAGTGGTTGCTTGCTGAGTATTTTTTATACTCTTTTCCGTTATTCTTTGTTTTTATAGACAGAGCTTAGACCATTCTTGATGGCGGGAGCGTGCAGAGCTATGCAGTTGCAAGAGGCATCCCTATGTCAAGTCTTTTCCTTTTATGTTGTTCTTAATATTATTTTAATGTTATTTATCTCGAAACTCGTGTTATTTTGTTAATTGCTTTTGATGTTGACGCCGTAGAATATTTTGTACTTTAAATTAATATTATGTCAGTTTTAAATGCATGTTTGATTTTTCTCCTCGTGTTTCTCTGTTGTACAAAATTGAAAATTTTTACCACCCTTTTTACCCTTTAGTCCACATGGCGATCTGTGATTCGAGGTATCGGAAAGAAGGTCGTTACAGATTGGTATCAGAGCCCTAACATTAGGTCATGTAGACAATTTTCCCTTGAAAGAGAGTCGTTTGGGTCTTTTGTAGCTTGGCTCGTAAGTAGCAAACACGATAACTCCAATTGAATTGCATGCATATGCTGAATACATTTATGAATTTGAATAAGTTAAGCTTTGGGTTAGAATACCTAGTAACCAAACTCTATGAGGAGGTAGGCCCTTATTGGGTTCGATCTCATTCGTGACTCCTAGTAAGGAAAGACACGCCAAGGACAAGAGTTCAAGTGAGTAGATTCTCCAACTGCTGTCATGGTAAGGATACCATGACGCTACGACCCCTGACCCTGGCACTGTGGCAAAACAGAGTAACAAAAACAATGGGGACGACGTTAGAATGTCCTAAGGGTCAAGATATTTGAGAGGCTTTTGCAAGCATGACCCATCGACACTTGATGGAAAGAACGTAACCCCAGCTCATCGGGTAAGAGAAGAATCAGAATACCACAAGCGGGTGATGCCATTGCTCGAGGCAAGAGCAGGTGAGACAAATGTTAGGCTAGAGAGGACTATTTCTAAGGAGAGCTTTGGGATTAGGATTGCCTAAAGGTGAAAAGTCCCAATAACCTAAAAATAGCTAGGAGAATCGTAGTAGGTTGTATAGCTTGAGGTGATCCAAGTCTTGAGGAGCACGAGTGGTCTCCACCACGTCTATCATAGAGGCCGAGATTACCCTGCCTGAAGTACCATGGCGAAGGTCGTGCTAGAGGACAAGGAGGACGATGAGTACAAGATGGTGAGAGAACAACCATAAAGTAGTGTACCCAAGGTTGGGGGTAGGTATGGATGGTCAGATTTGCCACTCGTGGTATAACTAGCTAGTAGACGCTCCCTGATGTGTCTCGAGGAGAACAAGATGGTAGTGGGAGACCAGATTGTAACGCCTGAAAGAGGGGTTATACGAAGCTAGAAGATTCTTATACAATACTCGATGGAGGTATTATACAGGAGAAGACTAAGAGGGGTACTATGAGATGGTACAATCGTGAGCACACAAGTTTTAATGTATTGAATGAGGGAATTCTGCTCGAGGACTCAGTGACAACCTGGCCCACATTATCAATCTAGCCTGGAATGACACCCCGTCTAGAATGGCAATGAGTAAGGAGATGGTTGCATGCCACTAGGAGTAGTCGATAACACTAAAAGTGTCCCACTAAGAGGAGAATTATGCCCGACAAGATGTAGGATGCCATGGATGGCAGCATTGCCTTGAAAATGAAAAGTTAAACTCAGTCCTGGTTAAACTCATTTGATAGGCACGACACAAGAAGTTGTTATCTATGCCCTTGTAATGAGAGAAGAGATTAAACCTAACCACAGGTTCATGGGTTTGGGTCAATCTTCGTGCTTGGCATGGGAATATAGAGGCAAAAGTGATGTGTACGACAATAAATATAGTACCATGGACAAACGGTTGAGCTTGGTACTAAAGATTGAGGGTAAGACATATAAATGAACGGCTTCACCACCTGATGTGGTGTGACATGTCGACATGTGAATATGGAATTGGATAGGCAACGAACTCCTGGTGATCAAATTGAGCTGTGCGGTCGTGGGAGGGACCCCTAGATTGAGTCTTTTCCTTTTATTTTGCTTTTAATATTATTTACCTTGAAACTTAAGCTATATTATAACTACTTTTGATGTTGACTCCACGAAATATGTCAGTTTAAAGGCATGTTTTATTTTTCTCCTTGCGTTTCTTTGTTTTACAAAATTGAAAAAAATTTCCATCCTTTTTACCTTTCATTGTGTCCACGTGATGATCTATGATTCGAAACATCAAAAAGCAGGTTACAGTTTCCATTGTCTCATCAATGGTAGCTTTCTCGTTCGGTAACATGTATAAGGAAAACCTTTATATTTCGCATCTACTTGGTGAAAAAAATTTGAAGGGTCATATGATCTACTTAGAGAAGGACTATCTTCAATCACTTGAAAAGCTTTGCTGTTTCATTCCTTCTACATCCTTTATGCAGGCATATTTAGTTTGAGGATGTGATTTCTGAACAAATATAAACATCTACCTACCCATCTTATTAATTATGCATTCACATGTTTCTTTACTTTTTCCATTTTCCTGCTTATATTATCACGCTCATGAGTTTACTATCTCTGTGTATATCGACTTATTCAGTAGGTATTTTAGTTCTTGATTTCACCCAATTTTGTTGAGGACTATTTACTTAGTCTCTTTCAGGTGGGTTTTTATGTGCATAAAGTTTGATCATGTAGGGAGCGGCAACTCAGTGTTATGTGGCGTTGAACCCCCAAGTAAAAGGGGTAAGTGGAGAGTATTTTGTTGATAATAATATTGCCGGCCCAACCAATCATGCCAAGAATATGTAGTTGGCCAAGAAACTGTGGGATTTCAGCGTGGAACCAACCAGTCCAAAATAATTTGAATCTAATAGAAGCCTTTTGTTACTCTTAGCTTCTCATCTCAGACTTTATGTTATTGATATATGGACTGTTAAATGGTGGAAGTAGATGTATCATTATTTTTAGTTTCAAGTGCCCCTTTGAGCCTATACAAACAATTACTGAGCACAAGTTTGTTATACTGTGTAACAAATACAATAGTGTTTTTGTAGATTTCAGTCCAAAAGTGTGACAAAAGTATTTTAAACACCTATTCTGGATAAATAATTCACAACCAGCTCATGTAAAAGCTTTAGAAGATAATTATGAATATAGTTACTTTTTTCTTTTTCATTTTCTTATAAATAAACTCCAGCAACATGTTGCCCTTGGGAACCAGAGCAGTGTGTTTGTGTACTGGTGCTGTAATTCTTATTCTGTTTGCAGGTCATCCATTTCATACAATGATGCATGTCGATTAGACAGTTCTGCAATTTTTGGGTAGCCCAACCCAATGGATTCTCAACCTTTTTTTCTTTTTTCTCGTGTTTTAATTCTAATTAATTCAAGATCGACAAAAGAAACGCTGTCAAAAGATAAAAAACAATTTTTATTACCATATTTTCACACTTCCAATTTCTACAGAATACTAATAGCTGTTACAATTCAAGTGAGGAGCCACTACTGTATGTTAATAGGGCCCATTGTCGCCTACAGGTTTCTAATTATCATACTATTCAGACCTGCCTGTGTTTAGGAGGTCAGATTGTTGAAAAGAATATGGCTTCTGGTTTTACTCTTTTCATGATTTGTCCTCTTTTTTACCTTCAAAGCTCACCAGTCCTTTAGCTATTTGTCTTACCTATTACCTACTAAATTGCAACTGCAAAACATGATGGGCATGAGGAAATTCCAGAGGATAATCACCAGTTTGCTCATCTTTGCTGCGCCATTGGAAAGAATGACCAGGCCCCCGTGGTCGTGCCTTTTGTCTCTACATCTTTCGCATTAGCCCACCAGTCTGAGTGGATATTAGGCTTAAGTGCATTACTTCCATTGCCATTATCAAAATTAAATTCATTCACAGACCCAAGAGTAGTAGAATGATGATGTTCTTGATGCTGATTTGCTTCTTCACCGTCTGCTGCCTTTTCTTCTATACCATTTGAGCTATGACCACCACCAGAAGAAGTTTCTTTAGCCGTTTCAAATGTTTCATGCATTGGAGATGATGCAACTGCAACATTTGACTCCAGTGGCTTACTTTCTATGTTTCTTAATAAAGAATCTTCATCAGATAACTCAAATGAGAATCTATGATTAGCAACATCAGGTTCCTCCATTTGGCTTCCATCAATGAGAATTTGAATATTTTGGGATTCATTCATTGAGTCTGAAGTTCGAGGATCCAAATCAAAATCATCATCATTCGATTTGAATCCTACAGAATTTTGAGTGCAAGAATCAGAACTTTGGCCTTGTCTGTCAAGGTTCAACAGCGCAGGTGGAACATCCAATGAGAAATTAGAAAATTGAGAAGCAGAGGAAGCAAAATCTAAATCTGTCCAAGGCGAAGATGCCCCAGAAAGAGAAATGGCAGAGCGTGGCGATATGAGGTTGCTAACTGGGCTACCAGGATAGAATTGATAAGATTGAAAGTCATCATTAGGACATGAATATTGGTCATCAGACTCAGCTTTCGGAAGGGTAGGTTGAAGAAACTGAGCAAATGGAACTTCAGGGGAAGAAGGTGTAGTCAAGTGGATAGACTCAGGAGGAGTGAAGGAAGGAGTCGATGGTTCAGTGGTGAGAGTAGAAAAATTCAGAGGTGGAGATACAAGCTGTGTCTCATGAGCAAATGGGCCAATGGCAAAAATCGAGGAAGGCCCATCAGGAGAATACATGTTAGCAGTGAGAGAAGTGAAGGAGAGTATATTTGAAGGTGATTGTGTAGCAGAAGGTGGCTCTGATTGAAGAAAGGATACAGGGGAAGAGGGAGGTGCAGCAAAAGGAAGCACAATGTCTGGGGATTGCAATGAATTTTGATGAGCCTCAGGCGAAGGACTTGGTTCTGGGACAAGGACAGCATGCCCAATTCGTTTCCTCTGTTTGAGAGATCCAAAGCACCAATAAATACTCCAACAGCTACCCCATCTTCTTTTCTGGGGGTAATCAAACAAACAGAAAAGGAGGAAAGTGATAATGACATCAGTACAGAACAGTGCAAAGATTTTGGGCAAATGAGAGTCCTATTTGTTGGAATCTTTATATAAAAAGCATTACTATTCCTCTATATAGAAGAACATTTAAAAAAAAAGACCTCTCTGTATCTCTTTTTGATAAAAAGAAGAATGGAGAGATGCCTTTCTGATAAGAAAAAGGGCAGTGTTATGTTACAAAAAGACAAACAAAATTGGTTGGGAACAGCGCATTGCTTCCGGACACAGTCGTCCAATCCAATACACTAATCTTGGTACTTTCCAAACCTTAAAAATCTAATAATCATATGCGAGAAGAAATCCAAAAGGAGAAAAAGAGGGAAAACGAAACTCGTGATTCCCTTTTTCGCTTGAATCCATGTGACGATTCACAGTTTCAAAGCAAACAAACAGAAGTAGCAGAAAAAGGGGGAAATTAAAAGCATTATATAGAATTCCGCAATCCACAACAAACAACACAGATTCCATTCCGCAATATGCTATATATCATCCCTCGAAAATCAACTACATCCTAATACCTAACGGAATCAAGAACGAACAATAATTACCAAAAACAAGGCCAGTATCTCAATCCATAGGTAACTAACACTAACACCTAAAATTCCAAATGATTGATTAAAAGGTGAAGTGATATGACGAATACCTGGACGGCAGTAGCCCGAGGAAAACGATGATCAACGGTCGCGATCGCATCGGCCGCCGCAGTAATGGTCTGAAAAGTGTTATTCATAGGCCTCAGATCAGCAGCATCAGCATCAGCATCAGCATCAGCATCCGCATCCGCATCCGCACGCCGCCTCATCGCTCTCATTGATCGAAGCCAGGGAATCGCTGATCGTGTTCATAGAAGAAAGTTGTGGTTCCTCTTACACGAAATTTTTCGGGGGAAAACACAGAACAAATAAGGAGAATTTGCAGTCAGAAAGTGAAGAGAAAGTTCGTTAGAAGAGAGAAGAAAGAAGACGGAAATTAAATTAAAAAGGATTATTATGAATTAAAAAAAAAGAAATTATTTATTTATATAAGTGAAAGTGAAAGTAGCTATTTATTTGGGTTTATCTTTAATAATTATAATTATTATTGAGGTTTAGGTTAAGGTTTATTACAAGTCAAACACGGCAATGAATTTGCTTTTTTATTTCTTTTTTTTATTATAAAATTTTCCAACAACCAAAATATTAGGTCAATATCTTTAAAGTCTCTATTTTCATTATGAATTTGTCAATTATACCCTTGGTTCACACTTATAATTATATAATTATAAGTTATAATATAAATTCACTACATATAAATTTAAATGAAAAAATGTATCATTTTATAACAACAAACACAATTTATATGCTTTAAATTAAAATATTTAAAATCATAGAAATTCATAAGAATCAAAATTCAAATTTATATATATTATTGGCGCACGTGTGCATATAGTTGTGTGATATTTAATAAACTCTTCATGGGTCGTTGGTTATTTTTATTTTAGAAAAAAAATAATATTAAACTTATTTAATAATGAACCCTTTAAATCAACGACTTATTCCTTCTTTTATTTCCATGTCCCTGTATTTGACACGTGGGACGAGTTGACACTATAATTCAATTAGTTTCTCCTTTATTATTACTTTACTTTATATATTTTATGTCTACGTGCACATACACGTCATATTGTATACTATTTGTGGACTTAGGACTTATATCATTATATTTCATTGATCTAGTCTTGGGTTTAATGTGGTTTGATTTGCTATTATAAGGTTTTTATGTGGTTTGATTTGTCAACTCTTGGTCACCTAATCTTTGTATATGGCTAACTTCGTAGACCAAGAAAAACTAGACCTAAAAGTAAAATCTAAGCACTTTAATTTTCTATCGGAAATTAAAAGAAATTTAATAAGTCTAAATTATATCCATTAATTGATTTTTAAAATGAATTTGAGGTTAACACTTTAGTTTTTGAAAAAAAAAAATCAATTTAGAAAACCCTGATGAAAAAGTATATAAACACTATTCTCTCGTCACAAATACAAATCTTAAGTAATAGAGAGTGTGCGTAATATATAGTTAAATCTTATCTATAAGAAGGCCAAAACCATCGTTACAGGATTGGATGACAATCCTAATGATGATCCAATTATCACATTGAAACTTAGTAAATTACACTAAGAAATAGAATTCAAAGAAGAAATTGATACCCGAAGAAGATTAGATATTCCTGAATAGATATGATAACAATTTTAGAGATAATTTGAAGGACAATTAAAATGTCAAAAAATGACATTATGATATGTTAGACGTAGAAATATCAAAATGACACCCTAAGGGACAACTATAACAAAACCAAATCATGAATTCTGACTATAATGGATTGAAAAGACGGGAGAAACTAAGAGCCAAACAAAGAAGAAAATCTCAAACAAAATAAAAATAGACATGAGAAGAGAAGCGAACCACGAAAGAAAGAGGAATAGAGAGTTGGGGCGAAGCCCAAGCCCACGTTCTAGCACCAACTCAATCCTCGTAATACCCTAACCCTAGAAGGAAAGAAGAAAAACTGCCCCTAGAAATAAGTATCCTTCAATTATTTCTACGTCCTTACGAACATAAATATCCGAGCCTAATGACAAGTTTAGCGTCTACCTCACATGTGTTTTTTTCTTATAAACCAGATTCTATGCTTATTATCCCATCATGAATCAAACACACTCACGAGCTTCATCTAAAAAATAAAAAGAAAAATTAGTTGTGTCTTTTAGGAGAAGGATTGATATGGCGTGGAGAGTGATTGAGGTGGAATTATGTCGTCTTGTTTCAAAAAAGAAAAAAAGAAAAAAAGAAAAAAAGTTTTCTTTAATGGTCCACATACCTACCTGCTCACTACTGCCCATGCTTTTATTTTTTTATTTATTATTTTTCTTTTTTACTTCTTGGGATACTAATTTTATGTCCCTTCTTCCTCCAATTGCTAAATCTTCTTACTCAAAAAAATACATAATTCTAAAAATGGGAAAACCACTAAACTTATAATTTAGTATCTGAAAATAAAAATTAATTTTTTCCTCTTTCTCAACCAAAATATATATATATATATATTTTGTGGTTAGGTTTAGGGAAGAGGAGTGAGGGGGACATGGCCCTAGAAATATTAATTTATACACACAAATACATTATAATATATTTATAATATATAGTTGGTTTGTATGGGATCTGGTGCGGAGTGAGAGTGTTAATGGTGCGTGCAGCAATAATTAATTAAATACCCATATGTGTTTATGCTACGCTATGCTGCTATCCTAACCTAGGCTACTCTGTGTTTGTTTGTTTGTTTGTTATATGATCAGCCTTGTTCACAGCGCACGCCAACTGGTAGGCTGTGAGGAGAAGGTGATGATCATGTTTGGATGTTGAGGTGATATAATAATAAGCACACAAAACAGGAAGGGAAGAGAGGGAGAAGGAGAAGAGGAGGAGAATGGGGTTTGGGAGAGAACAATAAATGAGGGATGAGATCCCATTTCATTAGAATAAAGTGTTTGATGACATGATGGCAATGGCAAAGGCAATGGCAATGGCAATGGCAATGGCCTTACAAATCGTACAACCAAAAGGGGGCAGTCCTATCTACTTTCTGCTACTGTTCACTGCATGCCCTTTTGTTTAGCTGCTCCTCCTACTGCGTCATGCCCCCCTCCTCCACTCACCTCATCCAATCAATGAATCATTGAATGAATGAATGAATGAATGAATGGATTTTAGACTCTATATGCTATGTCTATATGCCCTATAAACTGGCCCCCTACCCCACATTTATACCACATATACCCCTCCCTCTTTTCTACTCACCTCTACTCATCAACCATCTCCATCCCCACTTCCTTCCTTTTTAATAATTCAACTCCAATCCAATATGCCAGTCAGGAGACTGAGCTCAAAAAGGTTGGACACGAGTCAGTGTAGCAACAAAGACGCTATACCTCAATGGGGTGGATTGAGGGATCCCACATCGATTCGAGAAGGAAACGAGTGTCAGCGAGGACGTTGGGCCTCGAAGGGGGTGGATTGTGAAATCCCACGTCGGTTGAGGAGGAGAACGAAACATTTTTTTTTGTAAAGATATGGAAACCTTGAAGAGAAGCCCAAAAAAGAAAACTCAAATAGAACAATATCGGTTAGCGGTGGGCTTGAGCCGTTGGTCATTACCTCTTTTTTACCTTAAATGTATCGTATTAATCCCTTTCGTTGTCATTTCTTCGTAAATTCTTTTTTCTCGTGAACTTAACAAATTTGTATACCTTTTAACTTTGCAATGTAATTCTTGAATTTATTGATAGGTAGTTAACATATTGATTCTTCTGGCCAAACCAACTCTTTAGATGTATTAATTTACTTTGATTTAATTTAAAGGAGATAGATCATTCATTATTATTGATTATAAAACCCTGTGAATAAGCATCTCCCTTAAAAGAAAGAAAAAACACTTCAATTCTTTTTCCCTCTTAAACTTTTCCCTAAAATATTACAAATTAAAAGCATGTTACAATAATGTTTTACACAAAGAGACACAAGTTTAGAACATTGTCAGAACAAAAAACACACCTTGGAACAAAGATGTCAAAACCTATAAACAAAACCAAACTTGTTTGTGAGACTGTGATTGTCAACAGAAATGAAGCATTTAATCACCAGAAAAAGAAAGCATTTGCTTCCACTGCCATATCCAAAACTGCACAAAAAAAAACAAAAAAAAAAAAAAAACATTCATGAGATGATCAACAATATCAAGAACAAGAATTGGACAGCAGCATTTGTGTTCCTATGTTGTCTGTTATGGTTTAACTGCTATGTTTTTTGGTCCAAACAATGCTTCAACACTTCGACCAACCCTAAAATCACTACATCAATTTACTCACTACATCATGAAGGCAAGACAAATATATATATAGAAGCAGTTCATTTCTCTGAATTCTCATGCTAAAAAGCCATAATTCATGTCAAAAACAAAGAATTTTGGATATGAAAAAGTACTAAATGAATGCAACCAAGCATATGTTGATGAGTGGTAGTAGTAAATGGTATGATTTTATGGGCATTAGAAGAAAAACAAGAAAATTTGTCCATAATAAACAAGTGCATTATTAAGCTACTAGCTAATCAATTTATAACAAAACCACATAATAATAGGGAAATAGGAGTAAGATCATCAATAGCTCGCTAGGAGCATAAATACTAAATATTTGAAGAATTAAATAGCATATAAATACTTGGATCATGTGTTTTTATGTGTAAATAAGCAATAAATGACCTGAAAAAAAAAATGGATCTTTGGAGTGAGATAGCAATAACTTAGCTAGCTTGCCACTGGGTCACTCCCTAAAAGTCTATTTTTTTGCATTTAATCCTTCAATTATTGTTAATTGATTGGGATTAGTCCCTCCAGAAAATGTGTTAAATATATATCCATATATAGAACTGTCATTTTCGTATCTTAAATCCCATTTCACATAAGGGCTTACTTTTACTCATAAATTTGTTTAATCAAAGTCAACCAAATCAAATTCAAGTACACAAACATCAAAATCGAAAGCCTTTCATAAATAGTATACCTAACAATCCAAGCCCACCGCTAGTAGATATTGTTCTCTTTGGATTTTCCCTTTTAGTCTTTTCCTATAGGTTTTTAAACGCGTCTGCTAGATAGAGAGGTTTATACACCCTTATAAAGAAGGCAAAGAATACAACATTGGGGAAAAAATCAGCTACAAAGCCAACAGCAAATGTAGTGCCTAAACTACAGTAATTTAGTGTGTTTTTAGAAGACCAATAATTGGTTTAAGTGAGGAGAGAACAAAAAGAAGGGGAAAGAAAACAAAAAATTCATACTATTCAGCACAAACACATTCATTTCATCATCATAATTACCAGACAAGATTAGAAAGTGAGAAAAGAAGAAATAATTAAAGGGGTTTTTTTTTAAGTAATGAATGAATATAATATAATATGAAGATTAGAATGTATATATTAATTTATAAGCCATTAGCCAACCTGTTAAAAGCCATCTCTTTCAAACTTTTCTCTGCCAAAACCTGCATGGGCTTTGCCATTTGTCCAACCAAGTAGAGACAGCCATCGCTACCTACAAGAACATAACAAACAATGAATCAATTGAATTGAAATTGTGTAAAAAAACATCAGTTTTTCATGTTCTTCATGTTCTTCAACTTACATTTCAGTTTACACTACGTGTTCTACGGATTCTTGTCGCTGAGGTTTAATCCAAGAGAGCCCTACAGAAAAAACCAACAACATATTCAAATTTTCAACACATCCCCAACTAGAAAAAGGACTAAAACTTGTTAGATGACTTACAATTTGATTATCTTCCTCGTTTGTTCATGAAGCTTTTTGGAGGTGTGGATTCAATTTGACGACTTCCCTTTATTGAAAAAGTCGGTCGTCAGCTTGTTGTTACTGTTCGGCATCCGTATCGGTATCGACATCGGCATTCCATCGTAAACGCGGAATTGAGGCGACATTGTCGTAGTCGAGGTTGTTATGTCACATTCATCATCAGATTGATCTTCAGACACTGCACATTCCATGTTGACACCAAAAAGTCTCAATGTCTTAGAAGAAGCAGCACCTTTCCCAATTCCACGGCCACCACCGCCCACCGCCACGGGTGGCGGTGGCGGCGCAGATCTTAAATGGTACAAAACCGATGGCGAACCACCGCCGTCTTGGATGGGAGGAGGGTTAAGATAATGATGATGATAATGATGATTATAGAGATTAAAATTATCATTATGAAATAGGGTAAGATTATTATGATTACTATTATTCTGCGGCAAGTGGAGGAGGTGGTCCCTGGGTAAAGATAAGGGTGTGGCAACTGGAGTCCACTGGTGAAGGTGAAAATGGTGAGGAATTTGGGCAACGCCGGCGGCTCCACCGCCGTGGAGGTGGTGGTTGTGGTGAAAAGTAATAGGTGTGTCAAGCGGGGCATGAGGTGGGCGGCGGCGCCAATCAATAAAAAACCGATCTTTACCAAGATGACCAAGGCCTCGTTGAAAGGAGACGATATCACCAGCATCGAGGCGCTTCTCTTTAACAAAGCGGCTCCAGCCTTTAGTCATGACGTAGCTCTGGCTGCTGGTCCAGTAAGAGTAACGGAACCGCCACGATTTTCCACAGCGGTCTTCGAAGTTCAAGAGAAGACCCTTGTCGTTGGATGAAGAATCAAGCGGGAAGTACTTTTCAGCGTGTTGCTTTGGGATGACCAACCGGTTTAATTTTCCCACATCGCTTGGAGTCACAACTTTGTCGAACATGTGCTCTTTCTCAACAAAAAGGGAGCTGGATTCCATTTCTTGCTGTTGCTGCTGCTCCTTTTCAAAATCTGTGCTTGAATCAAGCGGAAATCTAGAACACGAACCCAAATCCATTAATGGATCTCTCAAGATATTATACTAAAAACAGCACAAAAAGGAAAAAAGCCCAAAACCCACAAACCAAAACACAAAAAATTAAGAGAAACAAGAGCGAAACGCAAAACCCAGTTGCAAAAATTGAAACTTTTTTTCTTTTTTTTGAAAGAGAAAAAAAAAATTAAAAAAATAATATTTGTTCTCTGGTTTGGGTTTTTAGAGAGAGAAAGGAAGCGAGGAGAGAGAGAGAGAGAGAGAGAGAGAGTTATGGTAAAGAGAAGAGAAGAGGAGGGTTCCCATGGATTGAGCTGGTTGGGCTCATGTGAGGCTGTCTGTGTCAACATCCCTGTAGCCTGGTTTATATATACACTAACTCATATAGGGCAGGGGATAGAAGAGTGGGGAACTGCCTCAATTTTTTTCTTGACAGCTGTTTCAGAGAGGTTATTGTTGGAATATATAATTCTTCAATGTGGCAAAATTATCAACCCCACAAAAGGACCATTTTTAAATTTTTTTTTTTTTTTTAATTTTAGGGTTGCATTAATTTTTTAGAGTATTTATTAAGTTCGTGTTTATGGTGTTATCGAATAATTAGTTTTTGATATTGTATTATGAAATTATAATACGCTTTCTAAAGTTTAAAAAACGAGTTAATAATTTTAACTCTTTTCTCCGTGTAATTATGACAATGGCTACACATAGCTTAGGGTTTGACTACCTCGCCTACTATACTATATATATGTATTCGATTAGCAAATCTTCTGAGTTTATAATTAAGAGTGGGAGAAAGGGCAATGGATTTGATTAAGGAAATGAACAAAAATAAAAGCTTTGTTTGGGGTATGGGACATATTGAAATGTTTAGTTTAGGGGAGCCTTTATAAACCAAGTACACTCAAATTAAATTTCTTAAAACCTCTTTAATTTATTCCTTTTTTATACACACTTACCTATTTTTTTTAAAAAATTGTTAAAATTGAATTTTGACCTTTTATTTTATGTATTGTTTTGTTTGGGAAATTAATAAAGGCAGACATTTCCTCTTTAGTTTTTCATGAAAAAAAATAATAAAATAAAAAATGTAATGTCTCGATCTATCTTTGAATTGTCATTTTAATTTTTAGAGTTACGAGAATTAGAGTTGTTTTTACTTAAAAATTCATCTACCAAACGTAAACTTTAATATAATCATTCAAATAGATTTGTTCACGAACATTTTTTATTATATAAAAGAAAAATGTTAAAACTCTAATAATAATAGAGACGTTGTTGAAGATCTCTTAAAACGATAGAGATTAAGAACAAGATTAGAAACTAAACGTGTTTCAATTCGTCTCATATATAAAATAAAACAAAATAAATAAGAAATTAAAAAAAAAAAAGTGAAGTTTCTTTCCACATATGTCACTCATTATTACTATTATTGTATTGAAGATAATGTTTTAGTAGAAAACAAGTTGAAGATAGAAGGTGACAAAATGTTTGCACATTAAACCCCCGCCCGTGAATAAAATAAAGCCCAATAATTTTAACTTATAGTAGGCACGAAAAATGAAAATAAATTATATTATAATTCAGGATTATGTCTTAACCAGTGCTTAATTAAGCAAAACGACAGGTGACTTTTCAGGGTGTAGAATGCGTAGTTTGAAAACAATAATTTAATTAATTAAACAATTGAATTGCATTGAAATTAGAGGTGGACATTCAAATTTACTCCTAATCCACAGAATTTAAATTACTATTTTTCTCTCTAAATAAAATAAAGGCAACCAGATCCATGTTGTCACCTAGGCACTGAAAATAACCCATAACCCTAAGTTTATACTCTACACAATTTTTTATTACCCTACTACCTACCTACCTAAACTAACAAAAATACACTTTTAAATTAATTAATCAATTATTCAAATTAATAGTATTTATTCGACCGAGTATTTGGATGTCGCTACAAGAGTCGAGTATGGGAATGACGGTCAAAATTCTTCCGAATTCAAGTAATTTGTTGGAGAGAAAATAGACAGTCCACCCTATCTTACAAACTCTCACTTTGTGTCAGTGCTATTCTGTCCAACCAGTTATTTGTACTGAGGGTTCCAATCTCTCTCTTTCTATTTCTGTTAATTTAAAAAATATGGGTAAAATAGATGATTAAAAATAAAATATTGTTAAATGGATTTAAATTAAAATAATTTTAATTAAAAAGAGCCTTTGTGCATTTGGTAAGAACTCTTCAAAAGTGATTTTCATCCAAATTTGTTTGGTATACGAAGTAAAACTACAAATATCATAAAAAGAAGAGAAGAAACTAGAAAAAGAAATTTTAATGTTTATTTTATTTTTTTCAAAAAATGAATTTCAACGTTCTTTTGTTTTTTCATGTGTATTGTTAATTAATTTTATTGTATGAAAGAGTTATTCTAAAGTGATTTGAAAGCGATTGACCAAACTTTTTTTATATCACATCTAAATTGATTATTGAATAAATGATTTATTAACCGATCTATTCATTTCAAAAAGTCACTATTTTTATAAAAAAAATCTAAGAAAAAAAAAAAAAGAGTAAGCTAGGTTATGCACTCGGCACAATCATTTTAATACGAATAGAAAGACGAAGCATAACAAATTGTGGTCCAAAGCTTAGAATACGAATAAAGCGTTAATAACATTTATGACTGGATGATTAGACATAAAGAAAAAAGCAAGAAAAAAAAATAATGACCCGTAATAAATTGGTCCCGAACTTTGTATACAGTTAGAACAATAATAATATCTACGATAATTGGACATAAAGAAAAAATGTAGAAAATAAAAAATAAAGGCACGTAACAAAATGATGTAGAACTCGAAATATGATTAAAGCATTAGAAACTTCACGACAGAATGATTTGACATAAGGAAAAAAGAGAAAAAAAATAATGATTGAGAAACGAATCGATCTCAAATTTTGAATACAGTTAAAGCGTTAATAGCATATATAATAGAATGGGCACATTTATAGAAAAAGAGAACGACCGAGTTTAACATTTCCCGTGAAAGTTATTACAAGGAGTGAAAAGGAGTGTGGCTAATGTGAAAGTTTTTAGGTTAAATTGGATGATTAAGATGAGTTTTGAGAAAGTAAAAAGGAAAAAAATGGATGTTGAATATAGGAAGTAGGTGGTTGGCAGGATAGAGTAAGGACCACAAAAGGCGAAGGTCCAAAGGCAAAGGCAAAGGCTCGCGCCTTGCCTTGCCGCGCCTCGCCTTGTCCCGCCCCGCCCCGATGCGCGCAGATGCACATGGAATTTGGACCACGCCGCACACCCTACAACCTTCCACTTGGCGGAGAGAGTATTGTGTGTTAATTAGGATGATGGGTTGGATAAGACATGGATGCACACAATCCCATGTTCAATAATCCCTCCTTTTTCTTACTTCTATTCCATCGATCACTGTTTCTTCCCATGTGATCATCGACGAGTTTGTTAACGGATGAAGATTCGATTTTACGAAGTTTTGAGCTGAGAGACACACATGAAAGAATTGACGTCCCATTAAAATTTGAAAGATCATGAGATGTGTTTACAGGCGTAGAATATTGTAGTTCATGAAAGCTTAACGAAATTCGTTAGATGAAATGTAATCGTGTCGAGTGATTTAAGAAGTACGTGAGTGAATGAGGACGTATTAGATTGTGGGCCGAACTTAAAAAAGCTTGATTTTGTTCCTTCCAAAATGGGCCTTCCTCTCACTCATTTTTCCATATTGGGCTAACCAAAATCACATATGTATTATCCCAATTGGCAAGGCCTATTTGATATGAACAATATCAATCCGTTTATTAACAAAGGATGGAAAAACTCAAGTGGAAATCTCTTCTTTAGTACATATATGGTATTATTATCATTATTATTATACTTAATGGATAAAAAACCCTTCACATATATATATATATATATATGTTTTAGGGTTACTTTCCAACTTTGGTGCGCCTAAAAAATCATTCCTTTGAAAACCAGGAGCCACCGGACTCAGCGTTATCCTTCCCAACTTTCTTGCCTTTACCCGCTCCTTTCTCAGCCTTATGCCCTTCTTCGGAGTAATCAGACATGTCCATGTGAACTCCAGGGTCGTTGCCGGTGTAGCTGCCGCCGAACATTATGGAGTTGTTGATGGCTTGGAAGTTGCTGTTAATGTAGGAGGCCAAGGACTCGTTCTCGTCCGCACCCGCTTCCTCGAGCTTGGTGGTCTTGCCGTTCAACTCGGCTCGCATGGTTGCACCGGTGTTGGTCCCGGCGAGTGTGATGACGCTCGAGCCTTGGTCGTCGACAAGTTCATGCTGGTGGGCGGAACCTGCTATGATACAACCAAATATCAATAAGATTAACTATAACTTATTACTACGTTACATATTTGAATCCTGACTCCTATACGGTTGAATATAGAATAATCAATTGAAATGAAAATGAGAATTTTTACCTCCCTTTCGAATCAATCCCAAGCGACCGGTGAGAGTGGAGACCATTTCTCGAACCTCGCGGTCGAATTCGTGACGCTTCTGATCGTTGTTGTCGTATGAATGTGCCATTGGAGTGGAGTGTAAGTGAAAGAGGTTGGGAATGAGTTGAAGAAGGGGTTAGAAAAATGGGTATAAAAAGATGGGGTGGGGAATAAAGGGGTGCCTTCAATGCTAATGCATGGGGCTTCTTGTGCCTCTAGCTACAGCAAAAAGAGAGTAGAATTGCTTCACAAATGGGTTTGTGCTGCCTTTTGTCATTCTCAAGGTTATTTTTTTATTTTTTTTATTTTTATCTTTTTTCAATTTTATGGCAATTATTTAGATTAATGTTAACTTTTTCCTTCTAAAACTAAATTATAATTTTATATTTAGTATTTATATTAAGTTAAATAATGATATACTAGATATTTTAAGCTAGCGTGATCTTGACATGATAGACCAATCGGACTAACAAAAAATATTGTGGTTGAAACTATGAAACTTAGAACATAGAAATGAAACTTTCACGTTTTTTTTTCAATAGGATTTTATTTGAATAATAGTTAATAATAATAAAAAATAAAAAAAAACAACTATGTTTGGTGGACTACCATATAAAAAAAGGCACAATAAGAAATGATTGGACTTGGAGAAAGATAAAAGCTAGATTGGAATTTGTTGAAATTTTATATTTTATGTATTGATTTATTGGATCATAATTCTGTACTTTCACTTTTTAGTTGAAATTATTTAGTTTAGAAAGAATTTTATACACTTTTTGTAAGAAAGTGAACTATAAACCTATAATAAAAATCAAAGAAGGTTGAAAAAAAAAAAAAAAGTAAAATTGATCAACTTGTTCATATCAATAGATGAACTCGTCCTTCATTTGTAATCTATGAATTTCTAGTGAAAAATCATATTTATGTGGTTAGTTTGTCTCTTTGAATTTTTTAAACGAAACATTTAAGTAACTTAAGAGAGAAAAATTAACTGAGATCATGTTAGCAACAGTAGAACCAAGCGAAGAGTTAATAAGGGTTGGAATGAAATAGCTTATGTATCATAAGATTGGATTTGAAGTCCTTTACTAAGATTGGAACAAATGTCCACCAACAAGAACTGGACCTGGAACCAAATGAGATTAGGATATCGATATGAAGCTATTGCATTTTGCAACGGGGTCACCCAATGTATTTACTATGTATGGTTTAGTGATCTATATATAATCGATGTAACTTCCAGTGATCTATATATAATCAATGTAACTTGCATTCCACACTCTGATCGTGCTACCCTCGCACAAGATTAGTTTTCACCCTTGGCGAATCTACTTGTGGTGCCAAACTTGAATGCTGCCATTGCTGCTACTCGTCTCTGCCCACAAGTCGCACATCTGAACTCCCAAACAACTTCCATGATCGATCTATCACAGGAAGATTCGAGGTTGAATAAGCAGTCTGATCCAACTAGTTTCGATATGGCTTGCAACAGTTCAACTTAGTTCAAACTGATTTAGTTTAATTTGGGTCGTTCTTAAATTTTATTTAAAAAAAAATACATTTGTCTCTCATTAGTTGAAAACATGGTCTTCTAGACTTAAAATAAATACATTTATTCATCAAGTAAAAATAAAATATTAAGTTTATTTTGTATAGAACGTAGAAAAAAGGGAGGTTTCAGCCCATTGCCTGGACAGTATGGGTTTGTGTGGGCTGTGGGCCTAAGTTTTAGTAGTGGATTTATTTGGACTTGTTGACTCAAATTTCTATTTATTTTATCTTAGGCCCAACCCATTTTAGGAGACACAATTTGGGAGTTTTGAACCCTGTATACATCTGTTATAGTACGAGTTACAATGATGCAGTTTGGGAGTGTAGCTACACTAATGGTTGCCAAATTCAAATTCATTATGTAATCTATGTGTAATCTATGGTACCCAAATCATAGATGACACCTGGGTCCATGGCTTCCTTGGGCTCCACCATTCCCTTGCCATACTCCAATGGGTCCCTGATTTCAAGCTGCTAAACATGAGTCGGGACTCATTTCATCATCCTAAACCTACTAACCACACAACAACCAAACCCAATCAATACATTCCTTCTTCTCTGCAACTCTGTCTCAGAAACGAACTTGGAGTTCATGTTTTCGCTCACTCCAGTTCAAAGGAAAGCGCAGCCATCACCGCCACATCAGCACCACACCAAACCACCATAACAAACAATTGCAACCTCCTTTTATGGGGCCTACCAAATGTCAACTCAACCCTACTACAAAATTCGAGAACAGTGTTTATAACGGTATGATGAGAACTATGGGTTAAAACTGATGACATGGTCGTGTCTCAAAGGCCTGTTAGCTATAAATATATGGTGATGATGATGAAGGGCTAGTATTTATGAACCAAATCTTCGTGCCAATTTACAATAATATACCATTAAACTATGTCATATTTAGGTTTCAGAACATAAAATTTAAGCTTTTAATGAAAGAAAATATTGGAAACACAATGGCGTAGGAGCAATGATTAGAAAGGAGGCAAAACTTATCAACATTTCAATCATGCACCCTCCACAAGGACAGCTGGGGCTGGCGATGAACAGGAAAAACACATACCATTGATATGAACAAAAGATATAGATAGGCCTACAACAATCCTCAAGTTAAAGCTTCGTGTAACGTGTGAACTGTACAAGTAGGCCACCCCTCCTTTTGGCTTCATTTCTTCCAAGGGGAATACGAGTCATGAGTGGGTCCAATTGGCAGCACTATACCAACCAAGCTTTTATTTTGATTTAACCCCTAATTAATTAATTCATTAAGCTTTGCTTTAGTGGTTAAATAATGTGATTTAGGCCCATCCCACCCAAACCTGTCGATATTAACATCACAAGCTACAGGTCATGCAGACCAACCCACTCTTTTTCTCTAAATTAAAGTGATGTGCAGTTCAATGTATACCTATTTATTACAAACCCAACAAACCTCTCCATACTTTACTACTTTAAATCTTCCTTATTTTGTGTACCCAATTTCAGCACGTAATTCCATTGGATTCATAGTTTAAGTTTTTGAATTGAAGGGTGATTTGAATTGATATCATACCTAATCCAAAATAACATGAGTTCAAGCTCTTGTAATATCATTTATAGTGAAATTTTGTAGGGTTTAGGATTTCGGATATAGGGTTCGAGTTCTTCAAAAAAAAAAAATAATAATAAATAATAATAATAATCTCGTTCCGGTTTGAAAATAGACTAGATATTTAGAGTTATAGGAATGAGAATTTTATGGAATGACAAGACAAGTTCTAATACTTAAAACTATATAAACAAAATCTTAATTTTCACAAAATGATGAGACGAAATTTGTAATTAAATATTGTATTATTTTGATTTGGATGGTTAGAATTGAAACAGAACATGTTATGTGTTAAAATGATTGATTTGTCTGATTAAACCTACTCAAAGCAATGACATCCAACCAACAAATTAATTGATTGATTAATTAGCATCAATTTGTTTAGACAAAAGACAGTGTGTGGCTTGTGCTTCCTATTTATTAGCTGAGGGGTTATTAGAACTAATTACCTACTGATGATGGAATGTCTGATCTCCTCTACGTTTCTCCCTTCATATGTTTTGTATAAATCTATGTCTGCCTTCACACATAGTTTTAAGTCCAAATAACACTACCCATCAACATATTTTGCTCGTTTCTCGTATTTGGTAAAGTCGATGGTTCAATTAAGATATATACCACTTGACCCAGATGTCAGAATTTCAAATCTTCCATCGGTATGTTGTTGAAGTTTTATCTAGTTCAAGCCTACCTCTAGTTAATATTGTTCATTTTGACCTATTACGTATCGTCGTCAACCTCACGGTTTTAAAACTCCTCTATTAGGGAGATGTTTTCACACCCTTATAAGAAATTTTCGTTCTCCTCTGCAACCAATGTAAGATCTCATGCTCGAGTGTTTTGTGTTTTAAAAGAGAGGCTAGATCATTTGGTATGTTTTGAGTGCAACCAACAACCAAAAATTAAAGGTCACGGATGGTACTTTCTCTTAATTTTAAAGGCTAGTTCAAGTTGGTGGGGTTTTACTCTCTTTTTTATTGAACCAATAGCATAACCAACATGCCTTAATTACAGATTTTTTCATTATCAATATAAAATTATTACGAATAGTTACATTATCTTTAACTAACTATTTTTAAATTATTATTTCTACATAACTATCATGAGTGTTTTGTCACGTTGTTGAATTCCAAATAACAAATTAATCCACTAATTACACTCTTAAACAAATTATAAACCCACTCATTCATATAAAAAACAAATCAATTGTTATCAATCCCCTCTAAATCTAGTTTGTATTACGGAAAAAAAAATTCAAACTTTTAATCTCTGACCCAGAGAAGATCTAGGTTAAAGATCATTTTCACGTGACACGGGGCATATACACTCGCTCGAGCGAAGTTTTCCAAGAACAAGTGACAGTATAAAAGAAAAATTTATTAAAAAAAAAAAAACAAGACAAGTGCATAGCAATTTGAACAGTGAATAGACCACTCAACTAGACATCATATCAACCACAACAACTACAAAAGAAGAAAGCCCAAATCACATAAATATAAATCTATAAATATATACACAGACTTCACACTGATAGGGATCATCATCATCATATATATATATATATATATATATAAACAACCAAAATTAGGGTTTGAACTTTCCTTGGTTGCCAATTTTGGTTTTGGTTCAGATCAGATCATGAGCAGAGGTGGAAGCTATGGCGGTGGAAGAAGCTCGTTGGGGTATCTTTTTGGAAACGACGATGAACCCAGAAAGCCTCAAGTCTCAAAAGTGGTTCTTCCTCCTCCTTATGGAATTGATATCAACCCTGATGACCAAAACAACCCTTCCCCCTCTCCAAAACAAGCTGCCTCCAACAATTATCCCCGAGCTCATGGCCAAAACTCGGGCAACTTCATCACGGTAAACCCCCTCTCTACTTTGTTCTTGAGATTTCAAATCATGGGATTTAAAGATGATTTCTTGAAAATTCTCAGGATCGCCCATCAACCAAGGTCAAATCTGTTCCTGGTGGTGATTCATCGCTAGGGTATCTGTTTGGAGATAAGTGAAGTGAAGTGAATGATTTATGTGTTCCATCAGTAGCTGACCATATTGGAACTCTAAAGGGTATGTATGCTTTGCTTTAGTGTGCGGATTTGTAATAAATTGTGTGCAATTATTATGTATCTCAACCAACACTTAGCCTGAATTATATTTGTGTACCTTGTTGCTTCTACCAAATATGTTATGTATTCAATAGCATCGTGCCGACTTGTGGTTTGATTATGTTTGTGGTTAAGTATAAGAAATTCCACTTTTCCTTTAATTCGGGTGTTTCAATTCATTGTGCTTGTGCTTGCTTTAAAGATTCATATTAAACAATGCTGAAGATCAATCTGTTTGATGAACAACATTAATTATTGGGTTAGTGTATTCCATGAATCTTTTGATTTGTTGTGGGTTATCTTTGAGCAAAGGGTTTGGTTCTTAGTTTATAAATGTGCTTGAAAATCAGGTTCTTTCATATAAGAGTTTCTAACTGTGAACTTGAATTTCATGGTTTCAACTTGGAGGAGAAGGAATTGATATCAAAATCTTGAATCAATATGCACCTCCTTTTAGTTGATATGTATGGCGTTTTGTGAACAACAGGACATTTGTTTTTATAATATTATCGAGTTTGGCAGGTAAGATGCCTAATGATACTCAAGATTCTCTCTATTGTGTCCATATACGATGAGTCTTATATAAGAATTAGAGACATTTACAGTGTTAAGTGCAGTGAATCCATTGATCAACGTGCTTCCATCGTGAAATTAGTGTAGGAAATTTGATTTTTTTTGTTTAACCTGGGTTACATAGAGACCTGCCCTAAACAGGAGAGAGGTTGAGAAGACGAGAGATTTCTTTACAACTTGATTCTCATAAAAATAGAGAAAAAAAATTTCAGAAATTGAAACAAGAGGCACGGAAATGGGTAAAGAAGCTTTTCGTATCCTTGCCATGAACCATCGACATTTCTAAACGAAACTCGTCTAATGTAAAATTTTGCTTTCGAAAATTGTATTTATTTTTGTATCGTATAATTTTTCTATCCTAAAGTTGTGGTCGTAACATTTTATTTGGAAGCAATGGAAGTAAAGAATTGAGTGGTAGGATAATGTCCCAACGCTGTCTAAACCTTTTGTGCTCATACGCGCAATAAACAATTGAGTGGTAGGATACTGTCCCAACCTTGTCTAAATCTGTCTTTTTTTTTTTTTTTTTTTTTTTTTTGTT